GTATGTAAACAAAGCAATTTTGAAAGAATGGATTTATTTTTAATCCTACCTTTTTATTACTTCACAGCTTATTTTTCCTGGATACCCGTGTTTGAAATAGATGCCCCAGTTCGATCTAACTGTTTAAAATAAAAAAAAAAGTGGGAGTTTATTTCAAATACTGGTATCCACTAAAAATAACGTTTGAAGTAATAAATATATGTATGTAATACACACGCTTCAGTTACTTATCTGATGATATTTTAATGTTGGGAAATACTTTTGTCATTATAGGTGATATCAACTTATGTCATTCTTGGTCATCCATACTTCAGTTGTCCCATGAGATGCTCATAAATTTAAGTAGGCTTTCATCACTTATGTAAGGGAACCTGTTTCTTTGAGATTTATCTCTAGTGCTTCTGCAGAATAGGCACCCATAATTTTTACTCATTATAAATATTGATAATTAATTCAAATTGTTATATTTCTTCTTTTCTTTTAACCTTTATTGCTCTGTATGTGACTTCATTTGCCGTACAAAAAGTTTATCCTGCCACTGAACCTGACCTGATCCCTGAATTTGAATTTCACAGTTGTGTTGTCATACCCTGCTATGGCAACAAAAATCATCTTTGAATGAAATTAACATTAAGGTTACTGCAATTGAGAGACCTTGAAAAAGAAAACGGTAGAAAGGGAAGTTATGCAGTGCTAAAGGTTAAATATTGAAAACTAGATCAGATTTTTTTTTCATTTTTGTTTTCACAAGATATACATTTAAATTTTTTTTTTAATTATTATTATGCACTGATTTATTTGAACAATCTTTAAATTTGAACATTTATTTTTTATTTTACCTCTTTATTCTTCCAAAACGCAACCAACTGAACACTTCTTTGGACAAGTTGGGGAGGGGTTTTCAACATGCTTCTTCATTGAAGACACTAAGATTTTTTTTTTTTTTTGATGGGTTGAAGGTCAGGAATTTCACCTTTCTTCATACAAATCCATATTTTGAGTCAACAAAAGAGCATGTGCGCAATTGGCAATTCTCTTGAGCATTATTTGCAGACTGCCAAAAATAATCTGGCTGCAAACAAAGCTTGTTTTCTTCTAAAATTCAGTTTTATGTGCAAGTAAAATAATTATGTAATGTTGATTAATTAATTTAACTTAATTAATTCATAGTGAAAATATCTGCTCTTATGATAAAACAATGTCATATCTATGACTATTATTATTGTAGACTGATTTATTTGAATGAAGTCTTTGGTTTGAAATTTTTAGAAGGTTATCACTCTTGACAGACTCCAAATAAAGTACGTTAGTCAAAACCTGACTAGTGTCTAAGATGAAAACTTGAGGAAATTATAGAACATTTTGTTATATCCCATTTTGTCACAAATAATTTCTGCTCAGCCTCCTGCTACAATTGTTCAATGTGGTCTGTAGTGGTTTCCTGGTTAGTGAAATTTAATGAATGTTTTATCTTAAGATTGTTATAGCTTTCTTTACTAAGACGATCCACATACACCCTTGTTCAAATTAATTGAAGCAACTGCTTTAGTTTCCTTTCTTTCACCATAAGGTCTGGAGTGACACGGTGTAATCAATTTCTATGTTTGCCTCAGATTAGGTCATTTGCAGTGGTGTATAGTGATATGAATCTATTTTTGGGATGTATGATGAAATTTGTTTGGCCTTGAAAAATATTACGTCATCTGTGAGTGCATCAGATTTTTATCATGTCCAGACACTACTGTCTTGACTGTTGATTAGTTGTCCTATGTCCATTGTCTGCGATGGACTTTACTTCAAGGAAGTGTACAAAAATTGTAGTGCTGCACAAACACACTGGCAAGCCTTACCAGTGACCAAATCAAAGTACTAGACTGACCTGGAAACTCTCTTAATTTAAATCCAATTGAGAATTTGTGGTCAATCTGCAAGGAATGAATTTATGGAATGGACATACAAAGTAATAGCATTGTCACTGGGTCAGGTTTCATTGAAAAAATACAAAAAGAAAAAAAATAATGGAATTATTCATTTTGCTTCAATTAATTTGCTCAAGTGTGTATATTTCAACAGTAAAAAAAAAAACAAAAACAAAAAAACACCTACAATCGTAAGAATGCAGGAAATAAAAGATGCTTATTCTATAGATATATCAAATAAATCTATTCAAGAGAAAATTAAATAATTTTTATTTTTTTTATTTTCAGGTTGTTTGATTTTTTTTTTGTAATGTCTTATGGTTAGAATGTATTAAAACAAACTTTCAGCTTATTTTTATATTTGTTGTTATTTTGATAAAAATATTATAACTATATAAAGAGACAAATCTTTAGATGATTTTCTCAAAGTATAAGATTTTTTTCTTGGAGTTTTGAAGTAAGACTAGCTAAGAGTAAAGTTCAGAGTTTTGTATAATTATAAAGTGTTCTGTTTTCTAAGAGAGGAAATTGTTACTCACAAATTGCATAACTGTTAATGTTTGTGCTTACCAAAGTTCTATGTGGATTATCTTAATTTCAGCATTAAGCTTATCTAATCTAATCTATCTATAGTCTGCTTCTATCTATCACATGACTTTTGTCTATACTGACATTTATTTTGCAACAAAACATTTCCAATTAGATAAGTATTAAAGATTTAAATAATCTCTCTCTCTCTCTCTCTATATATATATATATATATATATATATATAGTGTGCGTGAAAATATATAGAAAATAGGAAAGAACTTGTTAGGTAAATAATACAAAGTTCTTTAGTATTTTTTTTGTTATTTTCAAAAAACAGTGCTCCATACAAAAGTAGAGCATAAATATAATTATTCATTTAAAAATATGATTCCATCACTACATAAGAATTCTCATGTTTCAAAACAAGAGCTGAAAACTTCAATATAATTATTTGAATTGAATTAAAGTACCAAGCTCTGTTCCATTTGGAATAACTAATTCTTGAAATTTATGCATTTTTATAAGTATATTCATTATTGAAATTAAAATTAGTATTAGTTTTTCCTCATGTTTTGACTGTTTAAGTTGTATTTTATTTTTCTGTTGTATTAAATATGGAATTGAGTATCTCGCTTGTGCCACATAACTATCTAGGTGTCCACATAAAACTTTTAAGTTGCTGAAAAGCAGTTATATATATAATTAGAAAACAAAATTATTACTGATTAATAATAATTTTCTATTTCTTTGCAGAACATTTAAAATAAACATTTTCTGAATTTTTTTTCTTTTTTAAATTTAATTTTTTTTAATTATATTTTCTTCTTTCTTAGAAAACAAAACTAATATTTATTAAATATTCTTTGCAGGAAATTAAAATATATGCTGGAAATTTTTTAAATTATTTTTATTTATTTTTTTTTTTTTTTAAAATTGAAAATATTTTTTCATTAATTTTTTGGCTTCCATTTGAACTTTTATTTTTCTTTTCTGCTTTCTCTAAAATCTGCTTGTTTCAAATTTGTAACTTACTCCAAACTACTTTATCTCTCCTGCAAGCATTGATGAAGCAGCTTTTACCAAATTAAAAAAAAATAATAAATACACACATGCATCTATGCAAGAAAAATGGGTTGCTTTGTAGACTTTATTTGCATTTCGATCTTTTTTTTTTTTTTTAAACTAACAATATTATTTCTTTTTCTTTCTTTCTTTCTTTCCCTCTTTTCCCTGTATCTTGCCCAGAGAATAAAAAAGAAGGAAAGCTCAAGAAGGAAAAAGAAAAGTTTTTTTCGAAGGCTTTTTGTACTTAGCTAGCATTTGATATGTTCCAAACCAATTTTGGAATAAGATTTTAAAAAAATGAAGACAATATCTTTTTTATTGTCTTTGTTTTGAGTTATAATAAAGTCAGCATTTGTGCCTCTGGTGAAGCTTTGTGTTATGTTGTGACAGAGTTTAGATGAAAAAAAGAAAATAAAAAATCAATTTGTGAGGGTGATATCATGGATCATCAAATAAAGAAATGGGATTTTAAGATTGCAGAATTGATTCTGGACTCAAGTTTTTAAATTTGGACCTATTGGTTCAATCTATAGCATTTCAATTGAAAGTAAAGAAAATACTTCATTAATTTATCTTTTGATTAGGTTAGCAAAATAGACACAGCAGAAATAGCTTTTTTTAAATCTCACAATTCTAAGAGTTGTCTCCCTTTGGTACTATTCATCTCCAAGAGAAAATATTTTCCTTTCCTCATATGACATAGATGGATTTCAGCTCAGGTAATAATCATGTTTCTGTTTCTTTCTTTCTTTTTTTTTTTTTTTCTTTTTTTTTTTCTTTTTTCTTAATTAATTTATGTTTGAGCCAAGATACCAACATCTTTGAGAAAATGTATCACAAGATATTATAATAATGTCCCAAATACTAATTCTTATATATTAGTAAATATACTAATGGAATGATGTGGTCTCATGGAGTGGCACATGGCTGAGTGGTTATACTAGCATGAGACCTGGGTTCAAATCCCGCCAAGTTCTATTTAAGTTGGCGACTTCTTGATAGTATTGGTCTCAGGAAAATAATCCCTGTAGATGGCGCCATTGAAAATTGCCTGAAAACCATACCACAGGTTGACCCAAGCATTCTTTTTATTCTTTTTAAGTTATATAAAACCCCTTTTTATTTGTTACATAAGACCCCTCTTGCCAATTCACAGAAATATGGCTCAAAAATATCATTTTTTAAATTTTTTATACAAAGTTAAGGTATCTAATTGGCTTATATTTGCCTAGATGTCATAGACTGCCACTATTTCTAATGAGCCTAGCTTCATAATACTGTAATAAGGGGTGGGGGAGTTCTTATACCTCTTCAGTTATGTTATTTCAACCTTGTAGATCACTTACTCTGATACTTTTTAAATCCCTGATAACTCCATGATATGAATATCATTTTTATTTGTGATTTTCGTAGTTAAGGAACTGCCACACTTGTTTCAGAGCATCCATATCGAGTCAGTCTATAAGGGCCTCTAGAGTGATGTAAGATGAGGCAAGATGTTTACTTATTTTCTCCCTCTCTATTTCTGTTTACCTTTTTATTCCTTTTTTCTTTTTTTCCTTTCTTTTTTTAATTTTTTTCTCCATTCTTTTTTTATTTTTTTTCTCCCTTTTCTCCTTTTTTTCTCTCATCTCTTTTCATTTTTCTTTTTTCTTTCCTTTTTTCTTTAAATGATGAAAGAATGAAAATGTCCCTGATCCATTCTCTTCTCTTTTGTTGAAACCTGCACTTGGTGGACAGCTGATCACAAATTTCATGCCATGTATTTTTATTTATGTTGTGAGAAACACTACAAGAATTGTTAATCAGATAACTGCAATTGTTTCTTTTGATTAAAGTACTGATGCACCCATATGAAGTCTGTCCCCACTCTCAAAAATCTTCTAAGTATCACTTGGTGGGGGTTATCACCTGAAAGTTTTAATAAAGAATAAAAAAAAAATTATAAATTATTTCTGTCCCGTAATAGTTGTTACATTTGTGTACACATTTCATGCACTAAATTATTATGGAACAAAAATTAAAACCATTTCTTTTGACAAAAAAAACAAAAAAATAACACATTTTTAAATTTTGAACTAAATTGATATTTCAACAGATGCTTTTCCTTGTAGATTGTTTTCTAATATTTATGTTTTGAAAGTGTTTAATTAACTCTCAAGTAAGACACATGACTGTGATTAGCTAACTACATGCATTTTATTAGGGGGGAGGAGGAGGGCAACGCGAAATGACTACATTCTCTTTCTCAAGAAGTTATGGTAATTCACATATAATAAAGTAACGGGAAGGTGTGGAGAGTCATAGATGAGTTCATTATGCCTCTTAATTTCTTGGGGAACATAGGGCCGCAACAATACCTCTCCAATGGATATGGTTCCGGGCAATCCTCTTCAGCTCGGCCCATGTTGTGCCGGCTGTTTTCCCGGGAAGGGGGGGATTTTCACCAGCATGTATCATATGCTCCACTTTGGAGGACTCTTCCTCAGCCATGTTGTTGTTTGAAGATATTGTTGCGGTATCTGTAACAAGCTAGTTTTTTTTTTTTTTTTTTTTTAAGTGTGTAGGTTGTTAGCCTACTGCACAACCCCCCAACCTGGAGTGCCAGGGTGTGTCTTTTGTCTGGCTCCTATCCTATAGACCTGTTGAGTTTGGTTGGACCTGCATAACTCTGGGGGTCATTGAAGTATGCAAGCCATCCTACCATGTCAAGACGACACACCATCAGGATGGCATAGATGAGTTGCTTGTTTTCAATTTTTATTCCTATATTAAGGGGATTGTTATTTAGCTATTTTTTATTTTTTGCTTTTCATGAGTTAGGGGTACAAATCCTTCTTTCATGTCTTGGTCTGGAACATCACTTGACATCAGAATTTGTGCAAAACAGAATGCATACCTTATCCTAGGTATCGACTAATAACCTAGTAAGGAATTGTACTACTGAACAGAAAAAAAAAAAGAAAAAAGATTCTAAACTATAATATTGGAAAGTGAAAATTTCACTGAAACATGTTTGGAAATTTCCAAGTTTTCATCTAAAACCAAGAAAATTTAAATGTTAAATGAAAAAGGTCACAATAGATGAAAGAAAAGGTAGTGTCAGTTTAAACTGATGCCAGTAGGATATGCGTTATATATACAAACCATTTTTTATTTTACCTCTACATTATCCTATGTATTAAATGTGTGCTTTTTTTTTTTTCTGCCTAAAAAGAAATTCAAAATACATATTCTTAATGTAGACGTTTGGCAAGTTTTTCACTTTGCTTATCTTGAGCAGTGATTCTCAAAGTGGTCCAATTGGATCACTGGTGGTCCACATAGCATTTCTAGTGGGCCACAGAGAATTTTGAGCCATAAAAAATTGTAGCCATTTCACAAAAATGTATCTAAATTATTCATACTTTGAAGAATTAAAAAAATATAATATTTTGTCTAAATTATACACATATCCATTATATTTGAAAATTTTGAAATTACGTAGATATTATGCAGTGCTATATTTATTTTATATTATATATATATATATATATATATATATATATATGAATTAATATCATATATAGTATGTACTATATATGATATAAATATTTTATTTCTATAAAAAATTTGTTACATATAGTATTTGTTTATTAAAATAAATTTTAAAGTGTAAATAGACTACTTTGTCTTGTCATTGAGTATTTTAGTGTGAAAATTGAACAGCCTAAAAGTAAAAGTAGGAGTGGTCCATTTTGATTTTTTTTGAAGAAAAAAAATGGTCCATGCACTGAAAAAGGTTGAGAAACACTGATATAGAGGATATTTAGAAGAAACAGCCTGCAGTTCCCAAGATGTAAATATCTTCTGCTATTAAAAAAAAAAAACCTGACTGGAGAATATCTTTCAGCTAATCTTTGATTTCTTTTTCATGTAAGACAGTGGAAATATATATAAGCATTTCATCACCAACACTACTAATATCATTACGGTCACCAATCGCTCTCAGCTGGTCCCTATTTTTGCTACATATGACTGGTGTATGAGATGAGAACCACATGACCCAGAAACAAATGTGGCCAGGATTTGCCCCCATCTGTTTCTGGATCAACTAAAGCAACAGCCACAATAGTGGACAGCTGCATTTTAGCAGGAACACTTGCAGCTGAAGTCACCATTTTTTTAATTTTTTATCTTAACTGTCTGACCATTTTGTCCGACTTTTTTTTTTTTTTTTATTCCCTGTTGTGTCAAATGTTTCTGTTCCCCATCATCTGTTTAAGCAATGGCTAACAGAAACAAGTCATCTTTATTTCATATCTGTACACTTAATGGCCCTGTTGGGAAGCAAGCTCCCAGGTCGTACGGTTTTAATCACTTTGCACATGTGTGTGCATGCTTACAATGTTCTGTGTGTGGGCAGAGATGAGAGGGCAGGGTTAAGACGTTAGGGTACGAGAGGCAGGATTTAGTAATGCTCCTCGTCCCCAGACGTCTTTCCCCTGTTGGAAAAAGAAAAATTTCTCTCTCTCTCTCTGTCCAAGTTGTGTTCATCCCATTTCACCTTTTCATATGATGGTTGCCGTTGTGGAAATCCTGGATCAGATTTGGCCTGGGTTAAACTAGTGGACTCAAAGGGCAAAGGTCAGTTTTTGTTTGCAGTGAAATCATTGGTAACATCTGTTTGTTTAACCCCTTATGTATTATTTTTGAAACACCTAAGAGTATAGGTAACAAATACTCTTTCTCTTGTTAATCTGCAGGTTTGTGTAAAGTGACAGTCTTGTTTGCAATAAAAACATCAATTTTCAGTATCAGTGCCAAAGGAAATTTTTGTGTGGTACATAACCTCTTTAAATATCATTGTATCAGAAAAATATATTTCTCTTGTAGCCTCACTTTGTAATATATACATGTCGATTATTTTTATATAAATACTTGTCTCCAGTATTACTGTTCATCATGAGTTTTACAAATATTGACAATTTGTTTTTGTATTTATAAAATATGTTAGTACATGAAATACAAACATATAAATAAATATAGTAGTACATAGCTTTTTTAGTTTAGGTTTTTAGTTTATTTTTAAAACAGAAACAAATTATTTTTTTAAAATTTAATTTAATTTAATTAGAATTTTGTTTTATTTTTTCAATTTTTTTTTCAATTTTTAAAATTTTTATTTTATTAATTTTAATTTTTGAGATGCATTTAAAGTAAATACATCTGGAGCCCCATTGCTTTATATATATATATATTTTTTTTTCCTGGTGGTGGGGTGGGGAATGTAGCTTTTTTTTTTTTTTTTTTTATTAATGCTGCTTTTTAGAACACATTTTTTTTTTTTTTTTTTAAAAAAATTGCTTTGCTATTTTTTTCCTTCTTCTTGCAAAGTAAGTAGTTTGGTAAGTGGGGCATTTGGTTTACTTTATAATAAGAGTTTTCCAGCTAATATACTTGCTTTCGATATACTGGTGAAGGGTATATCTGTCCATGTGCACGCTTCAAACAACAATCCCTGCCCTCTAATCCTAAATTTTTTTTTTACTTACCAATTCTTGAGTTCTTTATAGACTGACTATAGCTTGGACTGCTTCTGTCTTTCGAAAATATGATGTAATACACAAATCTATATTTCCAGCTTCATTTAATCAACAACAATTGCAAAAAAAAAAACAAAACTGCTTCTTTGTCACTTGTCATCAACAAGGCTTGCTTTCTTAAAGACCCTTTTTTTCTTTTTCAAGCGTTTTTTCATTCTTTTTTTTCTTTCCTTTTTTCTTATTTACTTTTTTCTTTCTCTTTTTCTTTCCTTTCCTTTTGATTTTTGTGTTGCTTTTTCCTTGTAACTTAAAAACATTTTAAAATTTTTTACTTTCAGAGTGTCCGACAGAAGTTTTAATTATCTTAAGATGAAGAATTTTAAATGAAAAATAATTTGAGTTGAAAAGATGAAAGTAATTAATTTCTTTTTTAATTAATTTTTTTTCATTTGATTCCTGAATTCTAAAACTCCACTCGGCATTTTGGGCTTAAAATTGCTTAAAATAGTTAAAAGTATAACTATATAGACTTTATGTTGAACTAAGTTTATAAATAAGCACGTGTGTGCATATTGTACATTTTCATTTCTAATATATGTCTGTGTGTATATTATATATAATTTTTTTTATCTATATTTTAATTTTAAATTTTTAATCTTTTAAATGTCACATTCTTTTTCTTCTACTGTTACTAAGTAAATGTTAATTTTGACTTTAAAAAAGTAGACAGCCATCCATTTTTTATGTGTTGGAATATGTGAAAACCAGTTAGATGTTTAAATTTTATTGTTTCAAACATTTCATTCACTAGGAACATCGTCAGAATAAAAAAAAAATAATCATCACTATAACTTTGCTACTTAAAAACGGTGTTGTTAATATGAGAATATTTCAAAAATTTAACGGCTAATTTAAAATATGTATCAATGATTTTTAATTTTTTTAGTTGTCCTGCTGTTCTTCTTTAACAAAATATTACCAATAGAATAAAAAAAAATCCAACTAAATAGCAAATTTATCATAGTAATGATTTAATTTTGAAAAATATATATATACACACACACACTTCAAATGTCTATTCTCTTAAACAGGGGTAAGACGATAAATTATGTCCAGCAGCATCGCCTCTGATCAGGAGGTTTTGAGGAG